ATATATATATATATATATATATAATGCATGCACATACACTAATAAACAATAGTTTCTATAACGTTTCAGATGGCAAACTGACCAGAGACACCATAAATCACGAGGCACTAAATGACAGACACCCAAGAGAGTATGTGAGGTGTAAAAATGTAACTTCATCCATGTCTTCTGTCACACACACCACACACACACACACACACACTGACAGAGCGGCGTGAAATGTTTTGCAGGCCATCTGGGAAGGATTTATTGTGCAATTTGGTTTATTACCGTTGTGGTCTTCGTCTAAGAAGCTCGCTCACAATTACAGTCCGAGCGCCACTACACCTGGCCTCTCCGAACAATAATAAATCCACGAGGGAGGAAACCCAAAATTAATGAAAGGTTATCGCCATCATGCCCTGTTTAGTGCTCACTGCTGAGACGAGCGGGATATTTATAGCCCTGCGAAAATAAACACCAAAATACTGCCGTAATGCCAAACAGACTGTGTCATTCTGGAATCGTCAAATAAAGAAAAACACAAGGAGATCGGCCACTTCGAGGAAATTACAAGGTGCTGAAAGGCAGATATGCATGGAGACGTCCTTCAAAGCTCGACGGCTGGCCATCTGAAACATCACACAATGCTTTCTTGAGTTTATTACACTGAAAACGTGCTGTAAATTACATGCATTACAATGTATGTCATGCCATTATATATCCACATCAGTTATGTTAGTTTTACATGACGGCACGATAGATTTTAATAACTTGATTTATAATACGCACAGCCTTTCACAGATCTGATTGGAAACGTATGCATCTATAAATCTGCCTGGAGCCAGTGTTAGAAAATAAAGATGTGCTTTGGAAATCAATATTCACCTTCTTTTCAGAAGTACTACAGACACCAGTTGAACCCTCACCTTAATATGGCAATATCAGAATATGATATTAGCCTTACAGCTAGAAGAATACAGTACTAATCAAATGGAAAGATTGTATTAGAGACCTAATCCAACATCCATATTTTTCAGTAAAAGGTAACAGCCAGAATATGTTGATTGGCAGCTGGTCGTGCCTTGCATATGAAATATGGACCCCAAGTTAATCAGGTCTTAATAAACTTTTATTACCTTTTTTTACCTGTTAATACACATTCTATACTATATGTTATAATATTATTTAATTAATTGATAAGTAATTACTTGATATACATATATATACATACACACATGTATATAGAAGTGAGCCAAATGTAGATAATGGACCCTCTTTTTATTCATATTTTGTATTATTATTTTGTATTATTTATTTAATTTATAATAAATATATTATACATTTTTATATTATATTATTTATTATTATTTTCTTGTTTATTTTATATAAAATATTTTATATTTTAATTTCTCTATTATTTAGACAAAGACAGGCAGATAATAATACAAAATTATTATTTAATCTATATAGTATAATATAAATAAAATATTGATTTATTATTTTATATATAAAATATTAATATCTAATTTTATATAAATATATCCAAAATAAGGACGTGCAGATGACAGTGAACACAAATGCATAAAGCAAGAGCTTGATCATCTGGTGGTGGGACGTTTCCTCTGGGTGCAGCTGCTTTCTTCCGCGGGCCGGGGAACAGATGAGGGGTGTCAGAACTTTAAACAGACCCCATTGATCTTCACAATAAAACGTGGCTCCACAAACTGCAAGACCCCAGAGCCATGTCAAAGAAAAGCGGCTTGATTTTGACGTCCTGGTAATAACAGGGTCTGAAATCTTTTGTTGCCGAGAGCGAGCCAGCGCTACGCAAATATTTAGTTTGATTCGGCTTGTGTTCGCATGCATATTCTGCTTATATATGACAGATTCAGCCACCGTGAGGGTTTGGCTCTGAGAGGAGAAACAAAAAAAATACCACACCGAATCTGAGCGTGCAAAACAAATGCAGACGGCCGGCTCGCCTGATTTAAGAGCTCTCAGATTCGCCAGGCTAAAGGTTAAAACAATGAACGTTAAGAGCTGCTTTACTCCTTTTTGCAGCCACAGGGTGAAAGGTTAAATCCACCGCAGCGCGTCAGAGTTTGCTTTGTGACCTCTCAGAGATAATTCTCCCAGCCAGTTTCCAAACTCCAGGCGCCCTCTGAGCAAAAGCAATTACATCTGCAGTCAGCGTGCCAGTAAAGAGCAGGCCGCTTCCCGGTGATATTTGCTGGGCTCCGTTCAGGGGAATTCTGCTCCGGTACACTCAGTGTTTTGCTTGTGGTAACGGCATGACAAGGTGTAAGCTGGGGAGGAACGCTGTTTATCCCAGCAGTGAAAGCAACTAGCTTCGTAAGCGCAGTTATTTACTTAACTCGGCACAATCCTCATATCGCATTGCAGCGGTCGGACTCAATGCGATCCGTTTCAGAAAGGTTCAACCATAAATTTTATGAAGCTACGAGAATACTTTTTGTGCGCTACAGGGTGATGCGGAGGAGACAAATTATTGAAAAAAGTCGGGGGTTTTTTCTTTCGCGCACAAAAAGTATTCTCGTAGCTTCGTATAATTGCGGTTGAACCACTGATGTCACATGGATTATTTTACCGATTTCCTTGCTATTTCAGTTCAGTTGTATTGCTGTCTATGCAGGGTCAGACAGCTCTCAGATTCCATCAAAAATATCTTAATTTGTGTTCCGAAGATGAATGTTCCACGACATGAGGGTGAGTAATTAATGACTGAATTTTCATTTTTGGGTGAACTATCCCTTTAAACTCTTATCAGCGCATACATTTGAACCCAAATCATCTTTGCTGGATCATTATTACTGCCATTAATACATGCAGCCATGAGCTATTATGATCAACTATATACTTAATATTGAAATTAAGAATGTAAACTCTAAATAAATTCACTTTCTTTAAAAAAAAAATTTCACTTTAAAGTCTGCATGAACCGGAAGTTGCTGCCGACTTTATTTCAGTGTAGTGACGTATTTCCAACTGAAACGGAATACTGAATAGAGGGCGGGGTTTTATTTTAGGGCTCCTCCTCTCTGGAGGGGCGTGGCCCACCCAAGCCGTCAAGCTGACATCATCAGAGAAGGAACACCATTCCACAGCGGAAGCAGATGATCAGATTTTGATTTAGGTTACTAAGACAAACTATTTTTTAACTTGCACGGGTTAATTGTTCACCTTAAGACTAACAATGTGCACTAACAAAATAAATATTGTAAATTTTGATTTAATGCAGACTTTAATGGTCTTATTGTGCACATTTTTTAAATAACACATTATATACAGCAAAAAAATTTTTTTATATATTAATCAAATTAATAAAAAAAATCATAAACAGTGTAAAAAATAAACAAAAAAAAAAGAAAAGAAAATAATGAATAAAACATTTCCCCTGTCTCTTAAAAAAATTTCTGCTGACATAACCAAGGTCATGCAGCAGGGAAAATTAATATTAGACAGTAATATTAAACACCACTTTAATGACCTGATTTTGCAATATATATATATTTTTTTTTCCCTTAAAAATTCACTACATTAATGTAAAAAAAAAAGTTTTCATTAATTGATTAAAATAAAACAAAAATGTAATAAAACAAAACAATAAAAAATAAATGAAAATAAAATGCAGTAGGGAAACAATATATATTTGACAGAAATATTCAATTTAAAGACTGGTTAGTGCACAATTTTTTTCTTTAAAATAATGTACACCACCTTTTTCTAAAAAAAAATATTTTCATAAATTTAAAATAAAAAAAACTAATACAAAACAAAAAAATAAAATGCTGCAGGGTAAAATTAATATTTGACAATTATATTTGCTTTAATGGCCTTATTGTGCACAATTTGTTCTCTTTAAAAGAGCATACAATACATTATTCTAAAAATATTGTTTTTCATAAATTCATTAAAATAAAATAAGATACATTTTAATATTAGACAATAATGTTAAAGGTAATTTTAATGGTTTTATTGTACTCAATTTTTATATTATTTTAAAGATTTTTTTTTTCACAAATTCATCAAAATAAAAATAAAAATAATAAAATTAAATAAAAAACTTTCTCTGTCTCTGCTGACATAATCAAGGCTATTAAGCAGTGACAATTCACATCAGTAATATTTTTGCCTACTATTTATAAGCCATCCCAAAAATCTCTCTAACATTGTACAAGCACATGTTTTTTCTCTGACTTACGAGGTTGATGAGCTGGGTGTGCACTACATCCTCCACCAGGGCGGCGGTCACGTGCAGTGGTCTGAGAGCTAACCTGAGAAACAAATACACAAGCAGTGTGTTTACGCTCCTGACCAACATGTTTCACAGTCACCATGTCGATCCCACAACCCTTATTTTACTTTAGACAAATAATCTAAAATGGATTCTCTGTTAATGCCATCACAGCAAGCAAATGTTCATAAAATGGCAATTAACACACAGTTAAGCCCTCGGTTGGGTAATAAAAAGGCATCAGCCATTCACAGCAATAGCTGACATTCATTATAGAGGGCTTGAGTATCCAATGCAAGAGCTATTTACAAAATCTGAAGGCTTTTATTCACAGTTTTTCCCACACTGCAGCTGCCAAAGCTTCCCACATCGCAGTGTGCTTAATATCGACACAGCGGTTTCATCCAATAGTAGCACAAACCACTGCACAGCCACAGACTCTCCCTTTAAAAGAGCAGAAGATGGGAACTTCCACGAGGAGCTCAACACTTTCGATGGAAGAGGCTCCATCAAGCAAACTGCATTTCACACAGAACCATGACAAATGATTTACACATTTCATTAGGGGGAAAAAAAGACATTTTCTTTAAGAAGTGACATAATTCTGGTCGAAAACCACAAGTTATGTCTAAAAGAGATTTCATCACTGGTTTTATTTATATGGCTTATTGAGTCCCCTCTTTAAACTACACAGTGTTAAACTATACTTACTAGCCATTAAGTATGAGTATATTTAACCCTGGCAAAAAAAGAGAAAATACTAGTGCCTAATTGCATTTTTATTTACTTCATATGGTTCAAAGACACATAAAGCGCTCATGGAATCACCTAGCGCTCAAGCTCTGGCTCCGTGCGTCTGGTTATTGGATATCTCAACCGTAACCGTCTTCAATTAGCTTTTATTGCGTTCCTGGTATTTCTACTTCTTTCACCTAAATGCATTTTAATCCAAACGCCTCCCAGAGGAAAAACCATCATTTACTCCAGTGTTGTAATTTATTCCACTTGTTTAGTTACAAAGTATTTCAGATCAGATAAAATAACAAATAAAATTTAAAAATTGTAATTTAGTCCAGTTGTTTAGAATTTGAGCTAAGACCGGGACACTAAACTAAACTAAACTAAACTAAACTAAAATAAAATAAAATAAAATAAAATAAAATAAAATAAAATAATAATTTATTACACTTGTTCAGAATTTCAGCTGAGATCAGGGCATTTTGCAAGACCATTTGCAACACAGAGCCTTAAAAATAATAAATAAAATAATAAAAATAAAATATAATTATAAAAAATTAAATAAAATAAAAAACTGAATTGCAATCAGTAGAGGACAATTTTTGGTCATCCCAATGTTTTCTTTTCAATACAAATACACTGATACTCTTGATACGTTTCTAGCGTCAACATTAGTGGATATGAATATGGATGTTGACATCACGTACAGTATATTTATCATGCATCTCTTTGGAATATTAAATTCTGATCATTATTCCAATCATTATTACAAAATAAACCTGTTCAGATTGATACAAGGTCAGGGTCCTGTACATTACAATTTAGCTTATCTTCTAGCTTTTATAGTTTGATAACTTTTATAGAAAAGCTAATATTACTCAATATCTCCAAAATAAGGTCTACAATCATGCTGCTGGATTTGAATGAATCGTCCCTCTTCATTTGACTTTGACCAGCTGAAGTGAGCTCAGCGTCACGATAAGAATCGCATCCTTTCTCTTTCTAACATCTAAGCGGGCATGCGGTATCATCCTTTTGCAAAAATAAGCTGAATGTTTGTATAGAGATGTTGGGTTGCGATGTTTACGCGCCTGTGGTGCGCTGACGGCCTCCTCCGCCTCTTTCCATCTCACCAGCTGCCCGTATTTGCTTAGAAACAGAGAGAGCAATGTGACCGATGTAAACACATTGATTTGACAGTCCTGATTCCAGAAAACAATCAGTGTTTAAATACAGTGCAGAGATCAGAGATGCTTACAGTAAACATCTCGTCCACAGGGGCCCGGGGCCAGACGACCAGCACCATACAGAGAGCCAGCGCGACTAGCTAGGAGGAGTTTGAAGAAAAAATAATATTTAAAAATCAACATCAGCCAGTTTACGTTCTCAATACACATTCCTGGTCTTAATTTGAAAGATTCATCACATGCACGTTATTCTACAGGAAAAAAAAGTCTTCATAATATTTCGTTAAAGTGCATTAAGTTGCTCCATCTCCGAAATGACTTTCCCTTTTGCTTGACATCAGCTAGGACACAAGCTACTGATTACATGCTATTTAGACAGCTTTAGGAGACGTTTAAATGTATTTATTGAGTAAAATTAATGCTGCTGTTGAAGGTAATGCAGTAATGGTTAACTAAATTGTATATTTTACACATGTATTATTTTATATATAATATTAATAAATTAAAAAATTATCTAAATACCATTGTTTTTAAAAGTATCTTTTTGATTCTTTTAAAAAGCGAAGTTCAAAAAATATAAATTTTATATTTTCTTTGTTAATTATGAAACTTTATGTAAAAAAAAAAAAAAAAAAAACGTGTGCCGCATTTTTCATGTCACTACTGAAACAGTGTATGTTTTAGTCATAGACTGTATAAAAACATGGACGTAGTGTCCGTGACGTCACCCGTAGGTTTCTGAAGAGCGTTTTTGAAGCTCAAAGTGGGCGGAGCCGGCCGGCCGTCACCATCTTGGCAGTGCGTCACCACGCGTCACTCCCGGATAATCGAAAATGGGCAAAGTTGTCCTTAATATAATTTAAACGGATGAGTTATCAAAAAATGCACCCCTCTCACAGTTGTCATGAAGGGCAAAATTAGCTATATAGACCAAAACCACTTTTTGTACAGGCTGTAAACACATTTTTTTCTGCTGTAAATTTGAGCATTTTAACATGGGGAGTCTATGGGACTGACTCCCTTTTGGAGCCAGCCTCTAGCGGCCAGTCGATGAATTGCAGTTTTAGTCACTTCCGTGTTGGTTTCACGAGAGAGACCGAAGGCTGCCGCTTGGTTTTAGTCCATTGGCCGAGACTGATTTTTACTAAACCCCTAAATTTATGATCAGGAAATATTCCTGTGACCTCCCCTCTCTCATAGCTACAAGGTGTGAGTAGATATGACTCATCATTTTGAGGTAAATGTGTTCAAAATCTGAAAAATGTGTGTATTCCGAACACCTTTTTTCTGCAATTAAGCACACCTTTTCGGAGTTATTCCATAACATTTAGTTTGTATATGTATACCACTGTTCAGAACTATGCTAGCTAACCATGTGCTGTTTAGCATCTTTGAGCGAAGTTCAAAAATATCTAAAATTGTCACTACCGAAACATTTGGTGGAGTTTCGGTAGTGACATCTTTGGTTTTTTTTTTTGGGAGTTATCCCATAGTATTGTCACTACCGAAACATGTCATCATTGTTTCATTAGTAACAAAAAGGAACACATAATTCTCATATTTGGGGGAAATAAACTAAATTTTAGTACAGTTATGCAATTTTTTTTTGTATTTTAGTATGTTTTAGTAGTGTTTTAGTATGCAAGTTAAAATTCTGTAATGTGATGTGGTCGCTATCAAAGCATTACTGTCACTACCGAAAATGTGCTGTCACTACCAAAACATGGGATATTTTGTCAAAAATAAAGTATAGTGAATATCAGCTAGGATGTTATGATAGTTTTTGGTTCAATGTATATTCAAACTAATGAATCCTTAACTTTGAAATCAGTATGATCAACTTTTTGCCTTTTACAAAGGAAAACTGGATTCAAAACACAACAAATCACATAAATTACACTTGAAATACTGTTAAAAATGTAATTGTTATTGATTTACCTCTGACATTTTTTTTTATAAAATAGCAAAAATATATATATTTACAATGTAGATGTAAGCAAAATCTTAATAGGTCAATATTACCCTTCAAATTAAATTATTATTACTGTGTTTCGGTAGTGACAAATTTGGGGAGAGGACAAATATTCCAAAACTTTCTGAAAATACAAGATGAGAATTAACTGCACAATTACTAGAAATGTGTACCTTGGATATTATACAATTTGCATACATACATTTTTTTTTTTTAAATAAGACAAATTAAAAAAATTATACTAGATAACGTTAATAAATTAATTAATTAAATATCACAAAAATTTTATAATATTGATAATATACTATGGTTTTTATTTAATATTTAATATTAAATTTTAATATCATTTATATTAATATGATATTATAATATTAATATCAATATTATAAAAACAGATACATATATTATTAATAATTATTATTAATTACAATATTTTTTCTTTAGTGGTCTAGACATCTACAAATCACTAAACCTTGTATCTAAAAAAAAACAAAAAAGAGGTTTGTGATGCTTGGTGACTAAAACAACAACTATTCGGTTTTACTCACTTCATGGTGGCATCAGGTTTACATGTAATGATTCTAAATTTTAAACATCACAAAATCCCCAAAGTTATTGTTACATGGTTAACCGACACAATTATGATTGTGAATTGATTCAGCAGACGGCTGGTGAAATCTAATTAGGGTTGTAACCAAAGTACGATGTGTTTTATATGAAAACATTTTGTGCTTTCTTTGTTGCATGTACTCACACACACACTGCCTTCGCTAATGTGGGCAGGGTTTAAGGATAATATTTTCATTTCACAACGCTAGCATATGTCTTGCTTAGGAAGATAAAGAGGGCGGCTTTATCCACGTTCAATCAGCAACTACTGTTATCCGAACCAAAGCACTGAATCAAGTCAATGAGGCAGTTTTAAGCCCAAGATAAACTGCAGAACAGCAAATGCTGTTTATATTTCAGACGCTCTCGTGGGCTGAGGAGACGAGTGTAAGGTCCACACAGGGAGAGGAAAGGAGAAACTGAGGATGGAGGAAGTTTCTAGACTGTATCGTGCTGTCCTTAAACACAGTCACGCAGTCTGAGCGCCTCACCTGGGATCTGACATCACAACACTGAGAGAAAACATCCGCGTATCCTGGAAACTAATACAGAACAAAAAATAATAAACCTGTCCAGACCACTGACTCAAGCTAACCTAAGTCTTATTCCTCAGAACACTAAAAAAATTAGTATATATTTAATAAATAATATAATCATTTAATAAAATACCAACACATCATAAATGGGGGGAAAAAACTATTTAATTATTAAAATATAATTACAAAATTATAAAATAAAATAATAATTAAAATATAAAATATATATTTTTAATTAGTCATCATGAGTAAATAATTAAAATTAATTCAAATAATATATTATTTTTGCATTACAGTAATACGAATTTGGCAGAAAATTTGTCACATTGCAAAAAGTCTTGGCACAAAAAAAAACTAATTCAGTAATTGTGTAATGCAAAATAAAATGTCATGCTTTTTCTTCTTTTGAATTAATAAGAACTGTTATTATAACTGTATGATTATTATTATTAAAATATTTACAGTCAACGTGTTAACTAATTACTTCATTTTGTTTTGCAGTTCAGTAATGAGAATTTGGAGGAAAAGTGGTTAAAAAAATAGGCCTAATTTTGTTAATGCAAAATACAATTTATTTTTAAATAATAAAATACAAACTATTATTGATAATAATAATAATAATAATAAATATTTTAAATAATTAAAATAATAATATTAAATAATTATATTCATCATGCAGAAATGAATTACGCCTTTTATTGTTTTTGCATTACAGTAATGAGAATTTGGCGGATAATTTGTCACATTGTAAAAAAACCTTAATGGTCTGAAATGTAGGCCTAATTTTGTTTATGCTAAGATATGTTTTCAGGGTGAAATGCAATCCAGACATATACTGAGGCTCACTCATGAGAAATCTGTATAGATTCATCTAGATTTTGACTACCGACCAGTGAAAGCCCTGACAGTTTGAGCAGGATCTGTGATTTTCATCAATGACTTCAGCGTTGGGTGGCTTTCGCGTGAGATCACAGCACAAGGAAAGCATCTAAATATTGTGGGTCACTTTAAAGACACCCAATGAGAAAAAAGCCTGTTTAGCAACAGTATAAACTGGAAAATGTGAATATTTCCTGTGTATCTAATTTCGGCCTTAGAAACCTTTTAGTCCTTCTCCGGACCGTTCCTTAACACTTTATCCAGGATTTTTCCACTTTGAGCTGTATTTGGAGTGTGTGTGTGTGCGGTGGAGTTTTCCAGGCTCAGAGGCGTTTATAGTGATAGGGTGGGGTTGAGTTGGACCTGGGCTATTTTCAGACAGCGGGGAGACGGAGAAACAGACGTGAAGTTTGATACGAGGGACAGACATTAGTGAATATTCTGAGCTCTGAATTACTGCAATGAGAAAGTCCAGACTATAAAACACACGCCGAATCTGCATGAAACGCAAAGGGTCACACTTTAAAATCAACAGGAAGACAAAACTGATGTGAACGATTCATCAGTGCACATTATTCTACTTACAGAATCTAATTACAGAAATAAATGGGCTAAAATTATTATTATTAATAATATTTTTAATTATAAAATGTTTAATTATATTTAGTAATAATAATAATAATCATAAGAATAATTTATTATTATTATTATTACTACTAATAATAATAATAATATATTATCATTGCTGCTACTACTACTACTACTACTACTAATAATAATAATAATAATAATATTACTACTACTACTACTACTAATAAGAATAACATTGATAATAATAATAAATATTTCTTGAGCAGCAAATAAGTATATTAAAAAGATTTCTGAAGGATCATGTGGCACTGAAGCTTTTCTCACAGAAATACTGTAAAGTAGTTTAAAATGTTCAAAAAGAAAATCTTAAAAATATTTCACAATATTACGGTTTTTACTGTATTTTTTAACAAATAAATGCAACCTTGGTGAGCAGAAGAGACTTCAAAGTGTGTTCAGTTGCATTTTTCACATCAGACTCAAAATGCTTCATAATGGTTTAGATTTGGTCATGATTTGTCACAAT